ATTGAATGCTTTTAAATTCTAATCTACTAAGTGGAGTACAGGAGGAGAGGAAATGTAACCAAATACTATGCTTTCACTGCTTCTAAGGCGGGAAACTGGTCTGCCTCAGCCTCTGGATCAGCGTTAGGAACAGCAGAACCCCGGAAGAGCAAAATTGCAAGGCTGCCAACGCAAAAATAGATGAAGCAGCCAGAGCAATGTGTGACAAATGAACCAAAATCAGTTCCCACGATGCACTGCCAGCCAGGACCATACATTCTATCAAATTCCTGCATAAAATCAAAGCATCTGATCAGATTAACTATGACATCTAAATTGAAAATCTAAGCACGTAAACGGGTTTTTTAGAATCCATACCTTCTTTATGAAGCGAGCTATATCAGTTGATTCAGTGACATCAAAGAAATCCAGGGCTTTTGCTGCTAAATCAAGAGCATCTTGCTGCATCGTCTTAAGCATATCTGTTTCACCAATTACTGCTTTACCTTCCAACATGACTAATTTGAAAGAAAATCACCAAACTGTTTGTTTCTAAGAAGATAGAGAAAGCAGTAATATGGCTTGGAGAATGTGGTGAAGCAAAATGGACCAAATTTATACTGAAGTTGTGGCTTAACTTGAAGTGGTGGTGGAGATTATTTTCCATATGGAATACAAGAGCCTAGTGCTAGCGGGTCAACCACGTAAAGATTCTTTCTTTGTGGTCACTAACTGCTGCTGTGGAATTATGCCAAGTAGCTATTGATACCGAACAGAACAATGGTCAGTGGACCCTTTTTGATTCCAAAATGGTGCTAAGCTGCTTTGATACTATCATGGTGAAAAGCAGATGGATGGGAGGTGCAGAATAGACTTGGTAACAGAGAAGCAATGCAAAGTTACAAGGATCCTGCGGTCCCCTTTTCCACAGACATGTGAATTTCTCTGTGGCTAATCCATAGGATTTTGCCTAGCGTAGAGGAGCAAGAAATGAACATAGAGCTATAGTTTGTCAAGTTCTGCAATGGTGTTTTCTTTATGGGAAAATAATTAATTAAGGGATTGATGTGCTCTGCACCCACCGAACATTCACGATATGTTAGTAGTGTAGCCACATGATTTAAACCACATATGAAAGCAAGCACAGTTCAACAGACTTAATGATTGGTTAATTATATAGGGATGAATTCATCCAACCCACATGCCACATGACCAAAGACCTTTCTCATTAACATTTTTAGAAAAATGAACCTTACATTCAATATAATACCATCAGGGTTTGTGTTTTTTTCCATCCAAGAGCTGGAAAATAATGAAAACCAGTGACTATTCTTTAAGGGGTTTTCAACTGAAAAAATGTATGGTTCAGATAAATTTCCAAAAACATGCATCAACTTACTGGTCAGGATGACTTGCATGAAACAGCTAAGATATCTGTGTTCTGGGGACTAAACTCTAGGTGAAGCAAAAAACGGGCATCATAGTTTTGTGTGTTTTTTCTAATTTCTACTGCCAAGAGCCGACATTTGGTCTTACAATTTCAGGGGGACCATTGAGAAGCAAAAAGCCAAAACTCACCGCCCAACGACCCATAAGCCTGGAAAGTAAAGATCAAAGATAAAGATCTCACGCTTTCGTATCATTTAATTTGTTTCTCATAAAATTAGGAGAAAAATCAATGCAAGATGTGGCATGCTTTCCATCTGCCCCTTTTTTTTTTTCTTTTTTTTTTTTTGTCTTTTTTCTTTTAATTAATCGTCTTCATCTGTTGTTTTTAATGGATATATGTGCTGGAGACATGGTGCATATTGTTGTTTCTTCAAAGGTTAAATGTGATTTTTAATTTTTAGTTAGTGAACTTTTAATTTTAAAGATTTTTGGATTTTTAATTATATTTTAGATATTTATACAGTTTTAAAGATATATTTATTGTATTTTTTAATTTGTATAAAAA